GTTGGGGCGGGGACTTTGGGAAGGGGCGGAGTTGGGGCGGGGTGTGGGGGGCGGGGCTGGGGGTGGGGCCGGGGCCCTGTGGAGTGTCCTCCTTTTGGAGGCTCAAAATATGGTAACCCTACCCGGTACAAAATCTCCAGTCAAATTGAATAGGCCTCAGTCGGCTACCGTGGCTAGGCCTCGATCACACCTTCTGTGGGTTGTTTGAATAAACAGCAATTGCTCTTGCTATGGGTTATTAGAACAGATAGCGATGACACTTTCTAGGGGGTGTTTCCATAGGCAGCAATTTTGGCGGGTTAATTGAATAGACCCCAGTCACTCTTTCTGTCAGTATTTGAGTAGGCAGCAAGCGTCCTTTCTGTGGCTATTTGAACAGGCAGTTATTTGAACCTGTTCTATGGGTCATTTCACTAGGTAGCTGTGACCAATGGGAGTTTTCTGATGAATGATATGCATGACAGGACTTACTCGACTAAGGATTGCAACTGCAGAAGGGTTTAAATGCTGCTCCCAGGGCAAAGCAGGATCCATGAGGTGTTTGGGTCCCGTAACTGCCTGGGGTGATATGAATGTGTTGTGGCTGAAACTGACCCCTATCAATAGAGGATCCAGAATGACAATGGGAACCCCAAGGACCAAACAATTGATGCGTAACAATGGGAAACTCCAGCAGGCAGAACATGTGAACTCAGTAAGTGTCCTGCAGGAGGACAATGGACCAAGAGGTGACCAGAAGCTAGGATAAGAACTGGCCTTTTGAGAAACCCAGGTAAAGCCCTGCAAATCTGCGGACTATTTTTGCAGATCACAGATCTGATGTGGATACAAATTTTGTATCCAAGCAGGGCTCTGGATATAGGTTTGACCTGGGACTGACAGACAAGGGGCAGAAATTGACTGAAAAGAAACCAAGATGGTTCCTAGAGCAGGATGGTCAAGGGACCCCTGGCTTTAGCTCAGGGGGTGGGGAACCTACAGCTCATGGGCTGGGTCCAGCCCGCTGCTTAATTTTATGCGGCCCACAGCAAGTCTTCGTGCCGGAGCCATAAGCCCAGAGCCTTGGCACCCCCCACGGGGCTGGAGCCACAAGCGCTGGCTCGCCCTGCTGTGGGGAGAAGATAAGGTCGGCTCCAGCTCCCGAAAGCGCCAGCATGACCCTGCGGCCCCTAGGAGCAGAGGCGATCAGGGAAACTCCGTGCGCTGTCCCTGCCCCCAGTGCCGGCTCCACAGCCCCCATTGGCTGGGAACCGCGGCCAATGGGAGCTGTGAACACAGCGCCTGTGAGCATGGGCAGCGTGCACTGCACAGAGCCCCCTGGCCCCTCTTTCTGGGGGCCGGGCATGGTGGCCGTTTCTGGGAGCAACACGGAGCCAGGGAAGGCAGAGAGCCTGCCTTAGCCCCGCTGCGCTGCAGACCGGGAACCACTGGAGGTAAGCACTGGCCGGCCGGAGCCCACACCGCGAACCTCCTGCCCCAGATTGGAACTCCCTCCCACACCCTAATTCCCTCTCAGATCACCCCAACCCCCTGCCCCAGTCCTGAGCGCCCTCCCGCACCCCAACCTCCTGTCCCAGACCTGACCCCAATCCCAC